GCCAGCATTGACTTTGTTGGTTCGCGGATCCTGAGTCCCGATCAAGCATCCCGAGCGTGGCCGCTCACTGTGTACTATGATTATATTACGCCCTGTTATTTGGCACACACAACTAGCCAGTCTGCTTCAGTTTCCATGCTGGCGCAATTTCCCATGCAGCGATAAAAATGTCGCAGCGACAAAACCACCCTGTCTAGCCTGCCTGTCGCCGCCTATTGCACCGTTGCAGCCTCTTGACTCGCCTCCGCGGGAGGTGTCCTCGATGGAATCGGATCAATCACAACGGGCCCTGTTCGTGAAAACGGGTCTCGATGGAGCCTCAGGACCCCTTGCCCTAGACTTGGGCATGGGGGCCGCCCCGATTGGACCTGCATTAGCAAATGATGGTCACCACTTATCGCAGGCCATCCTGCCTTACCATTTGCTGGTTGAGGCTGACTGTGGGCTTGACTCTTGCTTCCTCGGGTATTATTCCTGAGGTCCACACGGACCATTGCAGGAGGAAGGAGTCTGTTGCTCACTGTGCATGTTTACAGGCTTGCCTAGTGTGGCACTGGTTGAACGCGGGCTGGTACCTTGTTGAGTCTCGGCTCCTGTCCCAGGGCGCTGGGAGGAAGCTTATGAGCATGTGTCGCGCGTTCTGCAGTGCTCATTTCCGGACGCGCGAGCTGTTCCTGTGGTACCCACGGAAAACCTGCCTGGGGAAATTTGCGGCCCCAGCTCGCGGTGCTGATTTTGATGTCATCGTCATGACCAAAACAAAGGTGTTGGCCCGACAAAGCGCCGTTATTTGGACGACTCAGAATAGGAAAGCACCGTGGTCCATGACTTCGTGGTTGGCTTGTCCATGACTCCCGGCGACGCCTAGTACACCATTTACGTCCTCCCGTTTTTACGAAACATCCAATCACCTGAATCAAGATGGGCTGGAGTCTTGTTTTTATTGAGATTGCAACCCTACCCGCCGTGCGCAGGTGACGGGCCAGGGCTGAAACAGCCATGGCCGTGAAACGAAAGCTTAGCCCGCGGTATCGTGGACGCATGTTGGGCTCTCAGCAGGCAATCATGACCGGAAAAGTCCAATCCTTTCAATGAACCGGGACGCCGCCTCGCTGCGCCAGCCACCTTGTTTTCCCGTTCGACACCAATACGACACTTGAAGCACGAGGAGGGCTGGGCCGGGCACACATGACCGATTGGTCACCACCTTGCGCCTACAGGCTTGCCGGCCGATATTTTGCACCATGGAGGCGCTCACACTCTGGAGAGCGGCTGAAAATTGAGTTTGGCTCGTGTCAATCCTGTCGACCGTGGCCGACGGCCCATTTCGCCAAAAGGTTTCCGCTGGAACATTTTGCCGTCGTCACTTCGTTCAGAGCGATGTTGCTTGATCGACTACGAAAAGGACAGTGTGCGCCGGCGACATCACAACCAAGCCAGTTTTCAAGAGCTGTGGATAAAAGCCAAGCCTCAGCCTTGCATCTCCCATGAGGTCGGATTTGGGCTCAGCCGTGGGCCGTTCTCGACCTGCACCAACTAGTTTGTGTGCGCATAAATGTTTCTATGTCTGAGACGAACACCGTCCCTGTTGCTTCCATGCACGGCAAGAAACGGGGCGGTGCGTCCCATCTCGCAGCACCTTGGGACTTGGGATGATCTTGGCCTATCTCCACGACAGCGGCTGTTTCAGGACGTCGCTCTCCTGCAACGATGGATGAGTTGACGCTTAGGTCAGCTCTGGGGGCTTGTTTTGACGACATGACACAACATTGCCCACTGCTGCTCAAACACGTCGGCGGAGTCCTTCAGACCGACCATCGCGCACTGGTTACTGGCGGGCTCGCACTTGATCTGACCGGTCTTCTCAACATCCGACCCGCGCATATCAAGTGTAAGCACGGTGATGGTCAGCGGAGTAGAACCGAGCCAGAAGACGACAACAACGATCGAGCCAGGCCGAATTCGTGTCAGAGTGATCCAGAAGCCTGTTGCACGGCGGCGCAGAAGCCGAATACTTCTACGACAGCATCCACCCCTTTCGATTATGAGACGGCGAGTGCGCTACGTTGCGAGGACTCGAACCCTCGAGACACCATGCGGTCCGGGTCGAATTTGCTTAATCCAGCCTTATGAGGCGCCCAGACCATCTATCCACGGGGAGATGTGGACCGCCAATTTGGCATCGCCTCTTGTCTGGAGCGTGGCTTGGGTCATCCCGCCGTCCGGGAGCAAACTCGTTAGCCTGTCGCCGGGACGGCATACGGTTCGCGATCGTGCCGATGCCAACACGTCGGATCATTTCCACGGCATGCCGCCGTCGCTCCGGTACTAGGCTAGCAGCACCCGATTCTTTGTCACTTTTCCTCCACAGTGTGAATGCCAAATCTCATGGAATGCAAGGGATATGAATGCCACGTGCGGGTGTTGACCGCCCGCCCGCCGTGTCTCAGGGCTGGAAAGTTCTGGTCCAGTCGTGCCGGCCCTCTGCGGTAGTTGCTCCGTGTTACGCCCTCTTGTGTCATTGTTTGCTTTTTTCGCGCCTATGCTTTTTTCTTGTCTTCTAGTGTGGATCTAGCTTGCTACTACTCCTGCCAAAACGATCGTCGCGAGGAGGAATGCCACTACTGGAGCCTGACTGGCCATCCGTCACCAGGAGCAAGGCTTCTGGTGTGCTTCTTGGAGCGTCTGTGTATCGGTCAAGTGCCTTCTCGACACGAAATTTGCAACGCCAGCCTATGGGAGCGTCAGAAGCAGCCTCGGACAGAGCTAAGGGCAAGTCTAAAGACTGTCACCAGGCAACGGGGAGAATGGGCCCGATGGCAGTCGATCATATTCCGCCTGCGCTACTGCTCCACTGCTCGCGTCGTCTCTTGGGAGAGACTCGAGGACATCCTATGCCCTTCTCTATTCTTCGGGGTTGCCGATATCAAAAGACGCTCGGCCCTTTCTTAAGGCTGATGGCCCATTTACCAAGGCCCCGCTGTACCTACTTACTTTGGTACCTCAGACCGATGTACTCGCCAAGTGACTCGTGATTCGCGGCGTGATTCGCGTGAACCGGACAATAGCTGCTTAATGTGAAGTGGGAGTGCACTCTTCGACTCAACTATACGCTAAACGTACGGGCTCTAGGTTCCTCTGCCTCGCGCATCTGGCCAGACTGGCGTTATGCTGTCAAGTGTTGAGGCACAGATGCGGTCTATCGAACAGCTCGGGTATGCTACTTCCACGTGATCACAATAATGAGCACGATTCCTCACCTGGCCCTCAGCCCTCCAGGCCAGATTGCTCTTGATTGTATGTATAATACGTAACATGTATCTTCAAGTATCTCATCGAGTATTCCGCACTCTCACGAGGGTTTTTTAATCGAATTTGGAAGCAGTGGCGTTGACTATTTGTCGGTTCGTCTTCGACCTCTTACCCGATATCGTGAATCAGTAAGTATAGCCTGAACTCGTCAAGGGCAGTCGTTCGGATCTCAATCTGAGTCCGGATCTCTGGCCAGTCACAAGGGCTGCCCAAGTAGTAACATACTGTGTGATGTCCGTAAAAAGGGAGTCTTACAGGAGGATAGCATGGGTCACCTGCCCATGATCGCTATCACATTGTGAAGAAAGTCACAGCTAATTCCTCAGCCTCCGCACCCTGCAGCGGTGATTCATCTCAGACGGCGAATCACCCGGGTAGCGCAGGGCGAAAGTACAAAAGTGATCCCAAGCTCAAGAACCCGCGGACGTCAAAATGGACTCTCCGTCCGCAATGGATCAACATCAAACTGAATCAACAAGTACTTGAAACAAGGCCAAGATGAAAGACGAAGGAAGGATAACAGACGAGAGGAGCGAACTCCAGATAGACCGGATCGACCGGATCGACCACGCTCCTCATAATCCTCCTAGGCCTGGCCTTTGGCGCAGATTCGTCCTGTGGTTCCGGAGAAGGCAGGCTCGCAACAGACACGGAAGGACTCTCACCAAAGGCACTGATGGCCACGATGAGATCCCAAGGTTGCCCCTCGGGCTGACAGTCACCCCCAACAGCCATCGTCCCAATGGGCATACCAAAGAACAATGAGACGCCTAGGGTGGTGGACTAATGGTAGAGAATCACCAGAGCCATATAGCATGATCACTAGATCTACATTGCAAATGATAGTTTAGTCCTTGTAGCTTTTCATAGGAATATGAAGTGGATATAATAACTACAAGTATTCCAAAACTTGTTTAATAGGTTTGATGTGACTGCATAGTTCTATCTTGCTACTATTTATAACTGCCCTTTGACCATTTCCTCTCAAACATGTCTATTTATACGCCCCAGGCTTCAGAACATCCAATTGCACGCACAAGTGCGCGGGTTTTATGCCGGAAACCTGTAGACTTGTATCAAGCCAATTTCCCCACCACTCTTCTCCTACAATATCATTCCCTTATGCCTGGTTTTGTTGTTCACAAAGCCGTGGACTTGAACGCCAATTGTCCCGTCAGATTTTTAATACCCCCAAAAAAAAAAAAAACAACGTCCATTCAGACTAGAGGTCCTGAACCACTACATGTGCCTGCGTAGAAAGTATAGAATGGTGCCACTGCATGAAGGCGCCATGTACGTCCCCGGACGTATGCGGAATAGAAGCGAAACCAGATTGATTGATGCCGATTGTCATTGTCTTCTTGTGCGATGGACGACCATGTGTGAATGGATTGAATTCCGAGGTGGTCTTCCAAGGTTTGAACTTTCTTAGGTACCACATGACGTCGTGTGAACCGGATGGGTTGTCATCCAGTTCTCTAAGACGTGACATCTTCGGTTGCGTGCTCAACTTTCTGCGAGGATTTTTACCTAGGTAATATCAATCTTCTGTCTTTACGACTGGAACGATGGCTGCACGAGGGGCCTGTCTAGTCCGGCACCGTGGCAACTAGCACTGTCAAAGTTCATCACTGATGTATAGTTACCCCAGGTAGCTAATAAGGCACAATGGACACGGAGGAGAGAGATGATAAGAGATTTTGGTTGATTAATAACGACTTTCACATTTCCGTCAAAAGTGATCCGGTGTTCCCAGTTCATTGCCTCCCCTGGCACTGTGACCAACTATTCATAACTCCTGAGAACCAACTTCGGGTCAATCGTTGTTGCCCTGACGCAAGCATCAATACGGCGTGTCCAGGTCCACTATGAAGCTTTTAATAAACCCGTGTCCAACCCAAACGCCATCAATGGAGACCGTCTCCGATGCAGTATGCACGATGTCATTTGACACAAGGCGCCGCCAGAGTGCCGACCTTGCAAACTCGACATTCCCCGCAATTCCATTCTCTGCCGCCCCTAGTTGAACCACATCTGCGAACCATTTGGTTGATCAACTAGCAGGGCATATACCTGGGCAAAGTTCTCACCATGATGGGCACACAGCGTCCTAGCTATTGATCTGGCCTGTTCCACGCCTTTCCTTTGACTGGGCAAAACCAGCAAAGTGCTGCACACGACGCCTACACGGAGCGCCTGAGCGATGAATAAAACTATCTGGTGCCCCGTAAACCAGCTGGGGACGTCCCGGGCACTGTTGACTCCGGTCCTTCTTGTTCCTAATAAGGAGGATTGGTGGTAGCGTCAGGAGCCGGGAATGCAAAGCCGGGTGGGAAGACGGGGAAACCGTTCGAGTCAGTTGAGATGCCATACGGGAATCCAGGCACAACCGGCTCACTTCCAGGTGCGTTGTGATTATTGTTGTTGTTATTGTTGCTGCTGTTGTTGTTGGCCGGGCGGTCCTCGTCCCGGTGTCGATGGTCGCCTCTTCCACCGCGTCTGCCATGGCGGCCGCCTCGCTCCTGGCGGTCATCATTGTCGCGGTGAGAGGATTTTGGGCCGTGGCTGCCACCCTTGTCTGTTTGCATGCGTCTGCTGATGGCTTTGGATGACACGCCGGCACCGATCTCGATATCCGGCTCCTCGACGACCATGCCATGGGCGATTGGCTGGCCACCACTTCCACCGTACGGCGCCGTCAGCATCCACTTGCGGTCCGCCTCTGTGAGCTTGTGGATGGGGATGACACTGATTCCGGTCTGGTAGTCGCTGCAGTCACGGGGCCCAAAGCCGACGCCCCATCGTGTACGCAGCTGTGCGTCCGGGCTGCGGCCCTGGTCCATAGCCTCCTTGGCGTTCACTGCGTCTTTACGACTATACATCTTGACGAATGCATGGCGCTTCTCCTTGTTTACAATGCAGGTCTGTACGGTACCGAAGCCATTGAAGATGTTCCGCAGCTCGTTTTCGGAGCAGTTGACACCACCGACGAAGAGAGTGCGGCTCAGCACCTTGATACAGCCATTGGGCAGGCTTGGGTCGTGTTCTATCCACTTTTGCTGCTGGAAGGCAGGCATCTCATCCCGCCGAGGGCTGTGTCCCTGGCGCGGAGGAGACCGTTGGCGGTACTGACGACTGCGATCACGATCATCAAAGCGATCACGAGGTGGGGAATTACGCCCATAGTCTCCAAAGCGGCGCTCCTCACGACCACGGGGAGAATCACGGTGCTCCCAGTGCCTCCCGGGAGACCGCGAACGAGATCGCCCGTGCGTTCTATTGGTGGGGGATCTGGGAGCACGACCGTCGTCAGGCCTCGGGGGCGCCCAGCCGTTTGTGCCATTGGGAGGGAGCGCGTAGGAGCCCTGGCCCGGCTGAGATACCGGAGGAGCAGCGACAGGAGTGTTGGAGGCCAGGGCCTTCACGACAGCAGCGATCTGGTCTGCGGGCATTCCCTTTTGGACTAACTGCTGGATCAGGGCCACCTGCAACGCGGTGTTATCAGTGGCGCCTGGCTGCGCGGCCGGGGCGGCGGTTTGCATCCCGTTGAACATGCCGGCCATGCTATTCTGCGCGGCGTAGTTGGGCACCTGCGCGGCCTGAGGCTGAGGCGCCATGAAAGGCAGCGTAGGCGGGTTTACAGCTGGAGCGGCCGGCTGCGATGTTTGCAAGAACGGCATGCCCTGCTGCAGTGAGCTCAGGAAGGATGGAGTAGCTGCAGGGTTAGCGGGGGGTGCGGCGGCCGGGTAGGCAGCAGACACCGGAGCGGGTGTCGAGGAAGAGGGCGCCGGAGCCTTCTGAGCGTTGTTGGCATTCTGGCGGGCGATGTTTGCCAGAGTTTCCATGATGTTGGTTGGGATTGCTGGCGGGGCCGGGGTCGGCTGGCTGCTGAGGGAGGGCAGCGGGTTGGCTGGCGGGCTACCTGGAGGAGTCGTAGACTGGTCTGCGTTGGAGCAAACAAGTTAGACATTGCGAGGCGCAAATCATGATATATATGAAGCATCCAGAGAGGCATGCAGAGGACAGGAGGGCCGGGGAGGCCAGATATGTGGGTGGGTGGGTGGGTGAACCTACTGTTTAGCCTGTCCTTGAAGCCCTCGATCATCTTGGCGGGGAAGGTCTGTCCCTTCTCCCAGATGTCGACCAGCTTTCTGATCTTCTCCTACGAGAGCGGGGAAAACACCTGTAAGTTTCTATACACACACAACAAGGGAGCGTTGAGAAGGGCCCGTGAGGCTTGAGGTTTACGGGTGGTGATGGCCCACTACGGCCATGCAGTCTCCTCTAGCTCGCCACAGGCGGGAGCGCTTTCGATGGATACAAGACTTACCCTCTGATCCTGGGGGGCCGAGGAAATGATATCGTTCATCAGGACTGGCATCAGCTCCGTCACCCTATTGACGCCGGCGGCGAAGCTGCCATCTGGGGCGGAGCTGCCGACGGGCTGGCCCTGCTGCTTGGCCTGTTCCAACCATTTGCGGGTTACAGAGTCTACAACGTAGAGGACACCAAGCTTATGTGTACTGGGGGCTTTCTTGAAGTGGGTGTAGATCTTCTGGACCAGGACTGACTCGGACTATGTGCGTTCATGTTAGTAGGCCATACTGCGGGCGGGATTGACTGCATGTGACGGTGACGGTAACGGTAACGGTGAGTGCTGGTGCTGGTGCTCTGTGCTCTGTGCTTATGGGCTTTTATTCGCGTACCTGGACGTTGGCGATGCAGAGACTGGTGAGATGGCTGATCTTAGAGCCGGATACGCCAGGCGGCTTGAGACCGAGCATGGCCTGGAGGCTCGCCTCCAGGTCTGCTACGGCGGACGACATTGTGGGTTGATGTTATGTTCCGAGGTGCCGAGCTGGACCACTGACGGCCACCCAAGGCTTTGCAATACGATCGGAGCTCAGTAGACCTCTGGCCCGTCTGACGGTGTCACTCTGAATACGGTGTGCACCAGTGTCTCGATCGCTTGCAGTTGGCGACGACACAATCTCGAGATACGGTCTGCGTCTTCCTCAAAAACAAAAGTTCAAGGTAGGATCGACCCCGAGCTACCCGACAACTCGCAAACCAGAGGAGCGGAGGCTACGCAGGAACAGTCAGGCTAGGCCACCCGGGTGGACCTGGGCGAATTGATCTGTAGAGATTTTTGCGTACGATGCGTGCTTTCTCGATTCTTGTCTGAACTGGCCTGGATTGGTCGACAGCCAGAACTTATCAGGAAGCACAGCAGTGTACGTCGGTCAGAGTGGTCAAATGGAGCCCACCAGTCACTCAGGACAGGCAGGCAGACAGAGAGTCGTCAAGGCCTACAAAGCTTTGCACTGCGCAGGTTGGCCACAAGATCTAGTGAGGCCGACGTGTGTCGAGCGTGGGCAGGGTAGGGCAGGACCACCAGAGAGAGGCAGAGTCGGTGCCGAAGCTTTACGTAAGGGGACGTAGAGATTACTGCAGATACGGTAAAGTGCCCCAGGGCCCTGGGAGGGGGAGAGGGTAAGTTGATGAGGGGTCTGATGCCGGCGACAGGAGTGATGATGTTGTTTGATGCAGCTGTTGGTTGTTGTCGCAGGTTGTCGGCGAGGTTGTGTTTGAGGGAAAAGAGATTTCAAGCGTCAGGAAGGCGCTGGTGTGGCAGGTCTGGTCGGATCTTGGTCTAATAAAAAAAGAGGGGGTGGGGCCCGTCCTGATTCCTGATTAGCGCCTGACCAAGCAAGTGCCACCAGGTAGGAACCTGTGACTGCCACGACCATGCCATGCCACGCTACGGAGCAGGGCGGACTGGATGGGGCCGGCCTCTTGTCGATGGCATTTATCAGACCTGGCCCGTCGCAAAGTTACCTAATCAACTGGTTGGCAGGCTGTCCGTCGTAGGTGACCTGTCAGTTGCCTTGTGTTGCTGATTTTACTGGGGATAATATTTTGGTGCACAAGCACATTTTACGGGGTACACAACACGGTACGTCACATTTGGTTTATTTACCAAGAGCCCAGGCCAGAGAGAGCTGAGGGCATGGGCGGATGATCCATCAATTTTATGGTCATCAGAAACAGCGTGCAGTGACGGTGCAGGCTGGACAGACAGCAGCAAATGGCTGCGACGAACCCTCACTCTCGGCTTGGCTGTGGCAGCGGCGGCAGCAAGGAGTAGCGACGGCAGCCACGGGTGAGCTCGGAGTCGCGAGAATGCCACCTGCCAGCAGGGCCTTCTGGGGCTCCTGGGCAATCGGGCCTAAGTGGCACCTTGGATCCCGAAACGTAATCCGCCGTTGACGAGACGACCGGGGCCCTGTTGATTGAGCCTTTTTCCCCCTTCCCCTTTGCGCTCTTGCAGGTCTGCCCAGATCAGATTGCCGGTGCAAATAAATAAATGCATTGCGAAACCAATGCTGGTCTGGTCAGGGCAGGCAGTGCCTTGTTGAGTTCCCCGACAGCCTTGAGCTTATGTGAGAAGGGGTGCTCGCGCCGGCGGTGGGAGTCAAGCCTCATAATAATAATAAATCCACAGGATGCGCACCGGAGTCCGGCGGGAGAAAAAAAAAGAGAGGACAAGCTTCGGAGCTGACGTCAATCTGCGAGCGCGACTGGGGCCAGTACCTCCGTACATTTCCCCATTGTCGACTTCTGGGGAGGGCCACGCAGGTATCGCATGTACATGTACATAGGGGGCCTGGCCTTTTCGATAGGGAGGGACGCTGCGACGCCTGCAGCTCCCGTTCCGGGCAGTGGGAGCATCGCCGGAACAAGAGGCTCACAAAAGGCTGGCGATGGGGCAATTGACATGTCCAAGTAGTCATGTCCTTGCTCGTCGTGCCTGCGTGTCATTCACCACCGTCAAAGACGACACGTTGAGCAGTGCGAGCCAGCCAAGGTGCGGGTTTCGAAACTGACTGGGAGCCTCCTCCGGGCGTCCAGGCACGCTATCTTCCGCCGTACCTGTACATGGCCATCGCGCTGCATCGAGCTTGCACCCCCCAACCAATTCACATCGGCTATCTCTGGAGTCCACCATCCATCCGCTCTGCCGAATTTTGCGCCGCCCTTGCGTTCTTTTCTCTGGCCTCTTTTAAATCCCGACAATCTTCTTCTGTTTTCCTTCCTCCTGTCCATCTATCAGCCTCTCCCCCTGTTGCCCGTGCCTCTGCCTGTGTGCATCTGCTTCACAATGTCTGCTGCCATGCGCCTCGGTTCTTCCGCCCTGAGAACTTCTCTCAGGGCCCCAGCCTTCTCCGCCGGGACCACCTCCTTCCAAGCTATCCGGTGCTACTCGGCAAAGACCCAGGTATGTCGCCGCCACTGGGGAGCTGCGGGTGGATATACGTAGCTTCAGAACCCATGCGCGTTGGCTTGTCCTGCTAACCCGTCCTTCCTCTTGTCAGACCCTCAAGGAGCGCTTCGCCGAGCTCCTGCCCGAGAAGATCGAGGAGATCAAGACGCTCCGAAAGTCAGTCTCCCCAGAACCGCCAGCCCCGTCCTGTTTCGCGCGCGCATCGCATCTAGGGAGGGTCCATGGGTCCATGGCTGCTGACACGGGCAAACACATCTAGGGAACATGGCTCCAAGGTCGTCGACAAGGTCACCCTCGACCAGGTCTACGGTGGTGCTCGTGGCATCAAGGCCCTCGTCTGGGAGGGTTCCGTCCTCGACTCCGAGGAGGGTATCCGCTTCCGCGGCAAGACCATCCCCGAGTGCCAGGAGCTCCTCCCCAAGGCCCCCGGCGGCAACGAGCCCCTGCCCGAAGGTGAGCTTGCTCCTCGCTGACGCCCGCACGCGGCACCCGCGAGCTTGTTTGTGCTGACGTGTCAGGTCTCTTCTGGCTGCTCCTGACCGGCGAGGTCCCCAGCGAGCAGCAGGTCCGTGACCTGTCCGCCGAGTGGGCTGCCCGATCCGACGTGCCCAAGTTCGTCGAGGAGCTCATCGACCGCTGCCCCTCCGACCTGCACCCCATGGCCCAGCTGTCCCTCGCCGTCACTGCCCTCGAGCACACTTCTTCGTTCGCCAAGGCCTACGCCAAGGGCATCAACAAGAAGGAGTACTGGGGTTACACCTTTGAGGACTCCATGGACCTGATCGCCAAGCTGCCCACCATCGCCGCCCGCATCTACCAGAACGTCTTCAAGGGCGGCAAGGTTGCCCCCGTACAGAAGGACAAGGACTACTCCTTCAACTTTGCCAACCAGCTCGGCTTCGGCGACAACAAGGACTTCATCGAGCTGCTGCGTCTCTACCTGACCATCCACACCGACCACGAGGGTGGCAACGTCTCGGCCCACACCACCCACCTGGTCGGATCCGCCCTCAGCTCCCCCTTCCTGTCCGTCTCCGCCGGTCTCCAGGGTCTTGCCGGTCCCCTCCACGGCCTTGCCAACCAGGAGGTCCTGAACTGGCTCCAGGAGATGAAGAAGGCCGTCGGCAACGACCTCTCTGACAAGGCCATCACCGACTACCTGTGGTCCACCCTGAACGCGGGCCGTGTCGTCCCCGGCTACGGCCACGCCGTGCTGCGCAAGACCGACCCCCGCTACATGGCCCAGCGCAAGTTCGCCCAGGAGAAGATGCCCAACGACCCCATGTTCCAGCTTGTCAGCCAGGTCTACAAGATCGCCCCTGGCGTCCTGACCGAGCACGGCAAGACCAAGAACCCCTACCCTAACGTTGATGCCCACTCTGGTGTCCTCCTGCAGTACTACGGCCTGACCGAGGCCAACTACTACACCGTCCTGTTCGGTGTGTCCCGTGCCATTGGTGTCCTGCCCCAGCTGATCATTGACCGCGCCGTCGGCGCCCCCATTGAGAGGTAAGCTCCCAGCGTTGAAATCCCGATCCCACTGTCCAATCTTCCGGACCCGCGTGCTGACGTGCGCAACCTGCAGGCCCAAGTCCTTCTCCACCGAGAAGTGGATCGAGATCACCAAGAAGCTGTAATCGAGTTCAGAGGCATTTACTTTGTGTGGGTTATACCGGCATTTTTGAGAGCAAGGATGGTTAAATAGCAATTTCGCAGACCGGGCGTGTTATATACAGGGCACGATGGAACAAGACGATAGACCAAAAAGGGATGCTTTTGCGAGTGCTATTGGACCGACTGGGGAGGTAGAAGCAGGGAGCGATACCCCATGCCTGGCGCTTGTATACTACTACATTATGTATCCCAAAATATTGTACGATGTGAACGAGCATATGCATCCAAGAGGGGCCTCGGGCATTCTGTGATGTTCCCCTGTTCTCCAATTCCCCAGCACGGGACGGGACGTTGGACATGAGGTAGCCTGCAATTGTGGTACCTGGGCCCGGCAACCTGCGCCGTGGCCCGTCAGACGGTCCAGGCCGGCGTGCGACCGAGACCTGGACCAACTTGGTGCTCTCCATCAGCCCCAAGCATTGGCGCTGACAAGCTGACCTTGGGGGTGGTACTCGGGCTTCCAGCCGGTGGCTTGGGTGCTCGTATCTCCCTGTGACGGGCCCTGGGCGCTGGGCCCTGGGCGCTGGGCCCTGGGCGCTGTGGAAGCCCGAAGCTGCCCGTGTGCTTATTAGTGTGCCTGTCCAGCTGTCCAGCTGATTGAGACAAGAGGAAGCGAGCAAATGGCACAAAAGAAATGCAGTCTATCTGTCTATGCGTACTTTGGTATATGACTGGGTTCGCAGACCGGGACAGACAAGACAAAAAGTCAATGGCCCGAGCCCCCTGCAGGCGAAGGGCCTCAACTGGCCGGCGAAAATTGAACGTTGGGAAACGTGGGGCCCCATTGTTGAGCGTGTTGAGTCGTGGGAAGCTCCGAAGCGGGCGCTACCAGAAGATACCCCGTTCCTGGGGCCACCTGGTGTGTTAGTCCGAGGTACCGTCTGCTCGCAGCCGGTCGGAGCTGCCCAGCTGCCCTGCAGAAACCCGAGCCCTGGGGCCCTCGAGGGCAGGGCCCAGGGCCCAGGGCCCTCTGGCAGGGTACCCAGGTACCCGAGCTGCCCACGCCCGCCGATCACCAATTGTTTGGAGCTGACTGAGAGTGAGAGAATGCCCGAGAGGGAGGGCGTGGGTGAGAGCTGTGCTGTGCTGTGCTGTGCTGCCCTTTCTTTGTCGTGTCGGCCGTCCCCAGCTGAAATTGTAATCCATCCTGCCATCGCACTCACTGCTTCATCAAAACAAAGACATCATCAACGTCGACGGCAGCAGGTAAATACCCCACAAAAATCCAAGTGCTGCTGCACTGCTCGCCTGGCCGCGAGAACGGAGCTCTCCCCCAGGCGAACCAGCGGCGGACGTGGGGGGGGGGGAGCTCCCCCCAAGCTGGCGCACTCCGGCGAATGGCACCCGCACACCGAAGCCTTGCCGACAGACAGATCTGACTGACATGTGCGAGTTTGCAGATCCACGAGAAGACACTTCCCCAATCCTCCTCCAGAAATCTTGCCTTCTCCCCCTGCAGCCTGCAGTCATCTATCTACACAGTTACCCCAGGTAGATAGCCTCTGGTGTGTTTCCTCCAGCCCAGCTCTTTTATAGCGCGCCAGTTCTAACCCGTGTAACCTCCGAACAGCATAGCCGAGCCCGTCTGAACCTCTCCACACCCAGACACGCGCTCACCAGCCCGCGAAGAAGCACACTCTCTCCCTTGGT